TATGCTGACTGTTAATATTGTTTTGCTTACTTAGTACTAGAGGACAAAGGAAACAGTGAGAGAAGATAGTTAATGATTTTGGCCAAAAAGTGTAATACTTTTTTGATCTTAAAGCAACCTGACAGTTGAACATCTTATTGAAGACTGACCTCTATTAGCTGACCGATGCAAGTTCTTTTTGCATCAGTAAAGCGCCAACGTCAAGAATATGTGAACAGTTAATTCTAGCAGGACAAAAGTCCGACAGGGTGGAGATTTAGTGGTCATTATAAGTAGGGAATATATGTAATCATGAGAGATTTAACATGGAAGACTATGGAAGTTTCATCATATACATTTTTGTTCTTTTTTGCTCAAACATCATCGATCTGGGAAGGGAGAAATAAACCTGGTGCATTCATTATTTTCTAACAGATTTATGATGATGAGATTTTGAGAGAGAGAGAGAGTTTTGATCTCAACTGTTTCATATATCTGTTGAAACTAAAACTTCATTGATATTTGTCAATCGCCGTTCATGTTTGCTTATTACGGAACATGATGGTTTTGTAATGCAGGCCAAAACATTAGAAAGCTTGTCAAGGATGGTTTTATCATCAGGAAGCCAACCAAGATTCACTCACGATCCCGTGCAAGGAGGGCACTGGAGGCAAAGAGAAAAGGGCGGCATTCTGGATATGGTATGATTCTTATTCGATTACATTTTTCTACATCCTATCCTCTCGAATGATGTTTTTCATATTACAGGTAAGCGCAGGGGTACAAGAGAAGCTAGGCTTCCGACTAAGGTACTTTGGATGCGTAGGATGCGAGTTCTCAGGCGGTTACTGCGTAAGTACCGTGAGTCGAAGAAGATTGACAAGCACATGTACCATGACATGTACATGAAAGTGAAAGGTAATGTCTTCAAGAACAAGAGGGTGCTGATGGAAAGCATTCATAAATCCAAAGCTGAGAAGGCAAGAGAGAAGACCTTATCCGACCAGTTTGAAGCTAAACGAGCCAAGAGCAAGGCCAGCAGAGAAAGGAAGATTGCCAGGAGAGAGGAACGCCTGGCTCAGGTCTGAAAAATTTATTATCTTGTTTTCCTTTAAATATGGCATGCAGCTTATGGAAGTTCTTTCCCATTTATTCTTCCCTTTCAACTGTTTCTATTGTTAATATTTCATGATTCTTGTCGAACAAATATTTCATGCTCCCTTCTTGCTAAGTAGTTTTTATAATTATCCATATAAACTCCTCGATCATAAAAATATTTTCTTGACACTCATCGCAGACGACACATCTTAACGATTAGTATTTTTCTTATACTTGTATTAGAATCGATAAAACATGGACTAATTCAGTTGATCAAATCATTTTTTTGTGTTAAAAATGTTGTGATGAAACCTTTTTTTGTTTGGCTTGGATGAAAAAGTTTCTGCAAGTTTTTTTCCTGTCTAAATGATTTTAGTTTGTGGAAGAACATTGTTCTCTTCTCGTGACAGTCAGTTCTGTAATTTCTGCCGTTGGTAATTAATGAGAACTGATTACTCGTTCTTATGATTCCTGATTTATCTTGGCTCTGTTGACAAACAGGGGCCTGGAGACGGAGCACCTGCTGCGCAGCAACCTGAGTAGGAGATTGTTCCTATCCACTTTTTCATGAAAGCTCTTGTGGACTTTCCTGTTCATAAACTAACTGTAAAAGTATTTTATTGCAGGGCTCCAAAGAAAGCTAAGAAGTAGAGGCACACACCGACATTGCTGTTTCTATTCTGAATCATTACTCGCTCGCAGAATGGAAGCATCAGCAAGCGGATGATTGCTAAAAAAAAAGAAAAAAGAGAATCGTAGAAGCTTTTATTTCAGTCATTCTGAGTTTGCTAGTTGGATAATCATGTGTGCTACACACCTCACTGATGATGGGTGTTACCATATTTTGATCGCCTAGAAACATCGATCACTCTCTCTCTTTTTTATGTTTTTGATAAGATTGTCGTCTATTGTTAAATAAGAGTCGAGAGATGGTGGCTATGGTCCTTCGAACTGATAAAACTATGCCGATATCTTTGTTAGGGGAGTGATTTTAACCACATAAAGTGTTTGCGTGGCATAGATTAGTGTTTTTGTCATCAATATGTTATGCACGCAAGAAGAACCATAATCAAAACCCGTTCTTTTGAGCCCATACGATCAGAGCTAACACCTTCTCTTTAGGTGATCATATTCTCCTCTGTAAAGTAGTCCCAACCTTCATTACATTACTTAAAAGAGCTGCAAAACCCCTTCAAAATGTGACCATTAACTTCTTTACACAAGTACTAGCCTGTCATAGAAAGAATAACACTGAAGCTCGACATATATGAAGAGCAACCTCTATGAGCTCACGCACATAATAAAAAGGGGAATATGGAGACTAGCAAATAAATTCCTCTGAAATTGAAATGATAAAATTGGTCCAAGGTTGAACATAACAAACCACAACAGTTGGAGCCTTGTAAAAATCTCGAAAATTAAAGTTGGTAAAGCACCACCATCATCATCGATCTTCATCTTCCCCTTCCTTCTCTGCGATGTTGAAGTATCGCAGCTCATAAACACTACGATCTTTGTTAGAGGCAATAACTCGCAGCCAGTCCCGAACATTGTGTTTCTTCAGGTACTTCTTTGTCAAGTACTTTAAGTGCCTACAAAACAATAGAACAAAAAACTATATTCCAAAGCATGTGAAATAGAAGGGTTTTATTTACACTGTCATTTACGGTGCAATTGGTCAACTTATAAGACTAGCAATCAAAGATTATAAAATACCAATATTCTCCAACAATATTAGCAAGAGAGAGATCTCTCTTTATGTGATTTGACATTCAATAGCACTTAGCAAAAGAAATCCTGTTAACACACATCAATCAACACCTGAAAATTCAGAATAATCTTTGAAATGTTAATCTAAAATTTAGCCTCCAGTAGAGTTGGGGAGAAAAAGTGGATGGGTTGCCTATGGTAATGTTTTTCTTTTTTATTTTTCCAACTCAACCCACTAGTGACACAGGCAGATAAAAGAGGAGCAAAAGAGAATTTCATGTTGTTCCCGATATAAAATAATTGTTTCTTAAATTGCTAGTTGAATCAGAAAAATAAGATTTCAAGGTAGTTTTTTATTCTGTTCAACAACGCTAAAGGCAACTGATATATTTTCTAGCTCGAAGATCTTATTAACCCTGTTGTCCATGACAGATATGCGCAATCATACAAACACATCACAAGAACTACATAGTTACACAACATGTACCACAAAATTGGTGCAGATAAATTCCAACATCAAAATAATAATAATAATACCTAGTTCATAAATAGCAAACCAATAAATAAATCTATTTCAGTTTGCAGAATGTATTGGTGACTACTATTTGCAACTAATAAAAATAACAAAAAAGATAAATCAGAAAAATATCTATTATAAGATACATAATTCCCTCATATAGCTTACTTACTATACCAATTACAGGTACATCTACATAGCTTACTACCACCCCCCTTACTACATTCTGATTTGATCTTACAGTACCAATTTGCACCAAGCATAGGCCTCGTCACAACAAAATTTGATTCAGTGTAGTGGAATGGATTATCGAGTCCACATGTCACTATCCTCCAAATTGCCCAATAAAAATGATAGAACAGGACACAGCACAATGCTGCCAACTTAACATCCAACTAGAATCTGAGAACCAGTAAAACCATTTACTAAACATGAGTAATTAATCAAAAGGAAACAACACCAAATCCTCATTGCTGGACCTTGTTCCAAATCTAATATCTTAATATAAAATCATTACGATCCAAGAGAGGAACCTCGTTGAACAAATGTCCTGTTTCTCCAATTTCAAGGGGAAATCAATACCTCGTAAAACTCATGCCTTCTGAGGAAATCATAATTACCCAAAATTCTTGATACAAATCACACAAACATCCACATGTTCTATGGAAGAAAGAAAGCAGGAACAATCTGGCAAGCTAAATCATCTAAATTCCTCTCATAAATACGACATATGTAACCAGATCAAAAGCCATGTAGTGAAAGGGACAATTGAGATTTAAGATACTCCGCTTCTTTCAAAAGGTTCATTCCTAGAAACTGGTTTAAACAATTAACTGTTCTGCTTAAATCACCATCAACTACAGAGGGCTCCCTTCTTCCGCGGTTTACAAGAAAAAAAGCAAACTACGTGCTGGAGTACTCATGAATCGAATATGCGATAATAGTTTCTGTCTTGTTCTCTCTCAAGCCATATCAAAAACACATTTTTGAGCTAAATTATGGTGATAATTATCAATTTTCAGTTAACGGTGACAAAAATTTCATCGAGGCACAAAAATGCAAGTATCTGAACACCAAAATTCATATATGAAATTAGTTGATAACCCAAAAATCTATATTACTGGAACACAAAAACGTGCGAAAAAACAAAATAAAAAGCAACTCCTTTTTGGATTACATTTAGCAAAATATAAGAAGCAGATATTACGACCGTTAATTAGAAGATCAAAACCGCATTCTTGCATTCACTGCAATACTACACCAAACGATCAAACTCCCTTTACAGTGCAAAAAAGTAGCCAAAATAGAGATCCAAAGGAGAGACAACTGGATCTTACCGTTTGGAGAAAGGTCCATCGGACGTGACGGTAATCTTGCTCTTGTCGCGGGTGACAGTGATGGCATTGCCAAGGGCCCCGACCTTGTCGCCGGACACCTTGATACGCTCCTGGAGGAACTTCTCCAGGGAGGCGATGCCCATGATCTTGTCCTCCACCGGCTTCGCGCAGTCGATGACGAAGGTGGAACCCTTCTTCTACCCGCCCTTCACAACCGCTGCCGCGCCACCGCTGCCTCCACAACTCATCGTCCCCTCCGTCCGAGCAAAGCCGCCTCTTCTCTGAATAGGGTTATGGTAAACAAGAGAGAGGTCGAAGTTGGAGAGCGACCCTATTTAAATGCGAGCCGCGGAAAGGAAACCCTAGCATTATCGTGTTAAGATGTCCCGCGGTTGACGGAGACTAAATGGTTACCCTCTTTTTTTTGTTTTTACTAAAATAAAAAACAAACAATTTAATTGCTTACTAAAATACATGAGTATAAGTTCTTTTAACCCAAAAAAATCTAAAACCTCAACAAATTAAGACTACTAATAATTAGTATCTCTTTTCTTAAAGCAAAGAATATTTCTTCCATTTTCTGGGAAACCAAATAGAGATTAAAGCTTGAGATACTTACTACCGCCGTATTGGACTTTTGGCGGGATCCGGAAAATAGTCGGATCGGATACTGGTCAAGCTTTAACGGATCCATTGGGTCACTGGGTCAGAATGCATTCCGGATCTGTTCTAATTCAACCTGAACCAAACCATCTCCCGAGGCTTGAGATGGTTACCATAGTGTGCGACATTGACACCATTATAGCATCACTACCACTCCCTTCTTGCTATTTTTATCATGTCATGTCATCCACAAATAGTTGGAAACTAATTCGATTCTATCAACCACAATTTGCAGAAAGAAAGAGAAAATTTGCATTCTTATGCATTAGCATCGATCAGGGGCAAAAGAAAGAATTGGGTTACCGATTCAGTTTTGCTAGTGCTCCGTCTTCAATTAGACTGAATGATTCATACCTTGCCAGCTTAATCTGAACAAATAAGAAACCCAATGTTACAGCAGAGACATTGGTACAAGTAATTGACAGAAACCCAATCTGAAGAAAATGTAGAGTTCAACATACAATATTGAGCTCACCTGTTCAATCCCAGTAGTTATCTCATCAGGTGCTCCAGAGTTGAGATGGCACGTGTTTCCAATTTATAAGCTAATGATCTTCATGTTAGCACCCTTTGTTTCTTCATTCCATTGTTTCAAGGAGAGACTAAACAAGATAACCCATTAATTGGAAGGTCAGTATCATCTACAGAAAGAAATTAAGATATACCTTGTGACTATGTTCAATATCAAGTATCTCTTTAGCAGTCCCTTGCTGGTACCTTCTACAGAATCATGAACGGCGCACCAGATACTATTTCAGGTGCAGTGTCAAAGAAGTCACTCCCAGTATACTTACAAGTTAAAATTGCAAGAATGAGCTGAAGAGAATGGAGAAAATTCCACATTATTTAATTTGCTTCTACCATTTTACAAGACAAACAAGAAGCCACAGCAAAGATGACATCCTGAGCAAATGGCTGGGAAGGAAGAGATAAATTGGGAATGAAATATATTGCTGGACTACCCAACTTAAGTAGCCCGACATTCTTCAATGCATCATAAGTGAAGCAATTAAGCTAATGCGGAGTGTACGAGTGGGTCAAAGTAGAGGCCACTATTTCTCTTCATCAGAGTCAAAAGATTGTCTCCGCCTTAGCGATTCCAGTACATGTGTTGGCCGATCACTGACGATCACACCACCATTTCCCATGCTCTTCAGCTTGGGCACACTCATCGAACGGAGTGGTGGAGTTGGCAAATTCTGGTTCGCTTCCTTGAGAACTGATCTCACCTTAGCTCTGGCAGCTGCATCTGCCACTGCTGAAGCAATCTTTCCTTCAGTTCCCAACTTCTCTGAAACTTTGCTGTACATGCCAGTAGAACTCCGTCCATTTGGTGAACAGTAGCTCTCCGACCTTTGCACATTTACAATGGCCTCCGCAACGGTGGACCTGGCCTTGGCAGTCTCATACTTTTGCATGTCATAGAGGAGCTCCTTCTGGAGTTGCTTGTCGGCAACCAATATCTCATCGATCTCGTTCTTGTAGTCCTTAAGGAGAATGCGGAGGCATTCCATTAGACAGCCGGTGAGGGGGCTATTCTTGCTCTGGAGCAGTTGCTTCAACTCGATGAATACAGGGACAGCTATCTGGATCAGGTTCTTCTTGGCTACTTGGGTGACCACCCTCCCTCTGGCAGCATGGACAGCGCTTCCTGCACTCTCACCGCCATCGTCATCTATCTCAGATGAATCAGAACCACGACTTGGATGGATCCTCATCTCTTTGCATGCAAGGATTTCTAGAGCATCCTGTAAATAAATGAGAATTTTCAGTATGGACTACTCTCTCCTTGTGAGGAAAAGAGCATTGCCTCAACTTCATTAATCAGTAATGGCAAAAGCAAAGAGAGAATTCTTGACCCTGGAAAAGACAGAAGGAACCTAAGCAAGCAAAGCCAACTGCCAAAATATTATTCACTCTCTTGATTGGGCTAATCTAACAAATTATCAAACAAAATCAGCAAGAATGAGAACGAAAACCTTATCAAGTTATCATGTATTATTCTTTCAGCAGAATCCTTAAACCACGAGTTAAACTAGGGATCCATATAAAGTCCATTGAAGCAGTCACTCTCTCGAGTTCATTTTTTCCTTTCTTGAAAAGACTCTGGACGTTTATGTTACTGAATGTATGACACCGTAAACTCTAAATACAGTGCCAACATGATGACAGCAGCTCAAATACAGAAGCAAAGGAGCCAGTGGTGTGCCAAGTACATGGAAAAAAGTAGAAAGAAGATGAGCATTTAGACCGACACACAAAGGAATCAAGGGGGCCAGGTTCAGCCTTTTGCATGGTGATTTAGGTTATTGCCCCCTGGATTCCAATTATGTCCACCATTACTATAAATCAGAGAGAACAAATCTTATTTACTCCTTTGGTAGTTATTTTGGTAGTTCCAGGCTTTTAGTTTCTTTTTATATAACAAAAGAAAAGTTATCTGATATTTGTAATGCTGAGCATCTTCTTGTAGCTAGTTAAAAACCTTGTTGGTTTTCAAGATCCTTAGCCTCGTAGAGACAGAAGCAACTTATTAAGTCAAATATTTTATATTTTGCAAAAACAAATATCAGATGTTTGAATATACTGGGTAAACAATTCTCATAAACTTAAATAAGCATATGAGATTATACTCAGTTAGCAATTCTCACACATTCCACTTGCTTCTAGAAAATTTATCATGAGGAATAATAGTCTTACAATAAATGCATGGTATAGTGCTCAACTTGGAATTTAATATGCCTCTTTTAGTCAATAGATTTCTCAATCAGGTGGCATACCTGGAGTACAGATAGTCCAGCAACATCATCAACATTGAGCAAGCCATCAGAAGCAGCTGCCAAAATCTCAGCACACAACTTGGCTGAGGTAGCCAAGAGGTGCTCTGGGGCCATTTGTTTTAACAAAGAAACATATATGTGCATCCTTTGTGACCTTGATTTTGCATCATTGCCTCTGTAATTGCAAAAAAGGGTATAGGATTTAATACTACATTGAAAATCCATTTCAAGGGTTAGAATCTTGACTAAAACTCACCTTATAGAAAAGAGACGGGACCTAGCATGCAGGCCTCCCTGAGACTCAACATGTGCAGAATGAGCACTGCAGTCATTTAGAAAAAAAATGGCTTCTATAAAACTGTTATATGCAAGAAGTGGTGCCTTAGCTGCCATGTAAATACAAAAGAAAAAAGAGAGGTTATTGGACCACAAAAAATTGAAATGAAAAAAAAAGGAAGACCGATAAAATTAGGAGAGACAGACCCTTTAGGATGTTTCCAAAGAGGAAATCAGCCAGATGTCTTATCTTTTCAGACTCATCAACCAGAGACAACAAAAACCGAAGGAACAATACTCCTCTCCACTTTACATAGTCTCTCTGTATAAAAGCCAGAAATGATGATGACATGCAAAATGTATTCAATAAGAATTATCCATAGGTTAAATGATTTCAGAAATCAGACCTGTAATAATTGCGAAAGCAAGATGAATGTCTGTCTTCTCACAACTTCACAAGGATCACGCAATGCAATAGTGATCTTGTGCATATAACTGTTATGTAGGTCACAACAAAACTGAGATCAGCATTCACATTTATAACCAAGAATTATAAAACTAATTTTTCAAGCATGAAAAGACTTAAAAATCATATTTGTACAATGAACACAACAACATTGAGAGGCACGATATCCAATGTTCTTACATAGCATACAGATCAGATCATATATGCAGAAACAATGTGTGCATGAAAAACTAGATATCAATATGTTACTGACAATTGAACACAAAGAACAACATGCAGAGCTTGAAACAGATGCAAGCATTTTGGTGATTTTAACAAAATCATAATTCCATAGATGCCCCACATTACACCACGGACTGCTTAGAATTTTGACACTAGGAGGTTAGATGAATCAGAACAGATTGTTGTTTTCAATCACGTAATTGTAGACTCAAAAAGAACCCCTCTTTCTGCTTGAGCCAAAAACTCCAAAGTAACGAAGACATGTTAACTATTTACAATTATATTGTTTCTATATCACAAAATATCCATTAAAAGTATACAAATACCCTCCAGAGAGAGAGACCAATACCAGTCAACTAAAGATGTGTATCGCACACAAAAATCTGTCATTGCCACCATAATATTGTTGCGGAGTGCAGCACTGTCACTCTTCTCAAGTTCCTATAGATCAAAAGAACATAGATCTATAATAACTGGAAAAAGTCTAGAAGCACAAATGAGAATCAGAGTTTAGTGCCAGGCAGGAAAAACCAAAATAAACAGGAGCAATTTCAGACCTGCACAAAGAGTGGAATGTAACGCTTTGCTAGTTTATCATCCACAAGGCAGATTTTGCCCATAGTCACCCATGACTGAATATACAGAGTAGGAGTCACCACTTTAAATGAAACTGTCGAACCAGCAAACTTTCTAGGCTTTGGTTCAGAATTTCCAGATGTTATAATGGTGTGTAAGACAGGTACAATGCCCTGCAAATCGGCAGAAGGGCAGACTAGAATCAATGATCCAACAGTAAAAACAGCAGTCACAGCTTGTAGTGCTGACTTCAACAATGAGACATCTCTCTTTCCTTTTTTCCTACTGTTCTGCGGAGGTGTTAAGAAGATGTTGATATTGCTCGATTCTGATGCCTCTGATATATAGCTATTAAGAATCTCTAGAGCTTTGGAAAGCAACTGATGCACCCATTTCAATATGAGGAGATCGCCCTCCTCAGCTTTTGTAGCCTTTCTCTTGCATAAAGTTTTTAAAGCTTTTACATGTGCATCAACCTGAAAGCATAGAAAAAGGAAGAATTCACAATCTTGAATAAGTAACTAATGCAACTGCCAATATTTGTTGCTAAACAGTATATTTCAGGTACAAAATCTATAGATCAATCATAGAAAATGTCTAGACATATTGCTTACTGTACTCTTTCTTGCATCCATATCGACCCAATACAACTTGTCTCTCATGATAACCATTTGGAAATCCAAGTTGCAGCAAATAATGCTAGAAAAGCTTTCCTAGCACTAACCTAACTGTAAAATAATTCACCGCTAAGGTCAGGTGTTGCAATAAAATATACATATATATATATATATATATATATATATATATATATATTTTTTTTTTTTTTTTTTCATTAGTAAATGAAAGTTAAAAAAGGAAAACAGACCATGAATGGTGATAGAAAATTCTTTAAGATAATATTGTGTTCTCCATTTCTCATATTTTGTTTAGAGTTATAGATTATATAGTTCTAAGATATGATAGCTAATTTCAAGTGATTAACGACTATAAAAAACATATCTACAATCATAAATCCATTTTAATCTGATAATCAGAAGATCAGATTCAAGCTAATAAAAGATCTGATATAATGCATCCATGAAGTAGCTCTCAAAAATCACAGTATGATTATTTGTAGTTATTTAAAAATTGGATACTTCAATGAAGTAATATGAGAAGCATCTAACAACTAGTTATTAGATAAATATAAGACAACTATGTTGAAGTATTCACATATTATCAGTTCATGGAGAACAAGCAAGGTGAAAGAAACAACACCTGAACAAATCAATGAGTTTAGAACTAGTGATTTAAAAAACACTAGGCGCTAAAAGGCGCTAAAGTCCCAAAATGCTCGAAGTATTAGGCGCTCACCTAGACACCTGCCCAAGCGAGCCGAGATGATCTAAAATAGTAATATATAAAAATTATATAATATAATTGATAAATATGATTATATAAAATAAAAATATGATGTTAAATTGATAAGATATGAAGTACCAAGTCATATTATTCATGTTCTAATAACAATAATGTCAAAAGACTCAAAACAATAAAACTTTACATCATATTCAATCATCGTCATACTCAACATCGTCATTCTCAAACATATCATTATCTTTCTCTTTCTCTCGTCCATCTTCAACAAAATAGATTTCCTCCTATTCAACAATGGTAAGAGATGAACTTAAAGCTTTTGCACTCATTTTTGCCTTCATCATTTGTCTAGTATATGTCTATAATTCTCTAATACCTGAGGATCTTGCCACATCTCTCCATGTTAAGTTATCATCTTCAAATACAAGTTTATCTTCGCCATCTTGCAAGTTTACACTCATTTTTATTTTGTGAGCCTCACATGCTCAAAGACACTTTAATTTCGCTCACAACTTATAGCACTACAAGTCAAACTAAGAATTTTGATAGTCAATTGCTACAAGTTCCGTATGAAATTTTCAAATAGACTCCATGATTCAACTACAAAATTTACTTTCTTATTAATAATAATATATTATACATAAAATTAATTATATAAATTTATAAATACCTAGGGTTGTAGTTGTCATAGATTGAACTGTCATTAGAATTCCAAAACGACCATTGACATTTTATATAAAGATAATTCGCGTATAATTTTATCTTGCACCTCATGGTTTGGAACAAATCTTGTAGTGCACTTATACAACCCATTTATAACTTCTGCATCAAACACGATAGAGGTGTTCTTATAATAAAATTCTGGGTTCAAATAATATTCTACGATATACAATGGATAATGAAGTTGACAATTCCATTTCTTTATCAATGATTGCAAATATGTTATACTTTTCTTCATTTCCATCAAAAGACTTTTGAATTATTTCTTTTATTTTATTCATAGCCTTACAAATATATCCTATTGTAAGCTTTTTTTCATTACTTATCAACCAAAAGGCTTGAACAAGAGAGCTTATTACCTGCAATGTATAAACTATAAGATTCCAAAAGGATGGCATTAAGATGATATCATCGAGCCTCTTGCCTTTCACTCTTTTGTATATTTATTTATCACTTATTTCTCCGAGGCAAACATGTTTCTCAGGTTGAGTTTTTAATGATGCATGCTTTATAATGTTAAGAAGGAAGTAACAAATCGGGTGACACCATATCTCACAAATTCCTTCTTACTTGTGAATTCTCTTATCATATTCAAAGTCCCAGTATGATTGTAGAGAAATCTAATGACAAAGATTACTCTTTTTAAATCTTCTTGATGTAAGAAATATTTCTAATATCCTCTAACATTGTCGGTTATAACTTGGATAACATTTTGTTTACCAATTTCTTCCACAAATTTGTCAAGCAACTCATATATCTTTTCTCTAGATTTCATAAAAGATAATGCATCTATTAACTTCACAAACATGGTTCCTAGAGAACAGCTGACCATAAAATTAATTATACTATTATGTCCCCTAGTGGTCCAAGCATATGACATAATAGAGCAAACATGCTTCACCCATGATTCTTTATGGCCTTTTAATAAATCATTTGTATAATCTACCTCTTTTTTTTAGTAATGAAACTCACAACCCATAATAACTTGAAGGTTTTAATCCCCCGCCATATCTTTTAATAGCTTCAATCATCTCTTTAAAATAATCCAAAAAACAAGTACTAAAAGGAAAGTTAGTCTGATAAAAGAAGGGAGCAATGTTTTGAATCGTTCTTCCGCTTATTTTTTTTATCGCAAGCATCACTTATGAATGTTTGTTTTAATTTTGCTTCTATTTGACGTAGTTGCTTTTGTGATCCTTAATACATATATACAGTGATTTAAAAAGCGCTA